GACGACACACACACACACACACACACACACACACACACACACACACACACACACACACACACACACACACACACACACACACACACACACACACACAACGAGCACATTGCATACACGAGAGAGAAAAGTTGAGAATTGTCGTTAAGCATGGTCGCCACAGTACCCACTGCTGCGTGATTGTCGTGGTCGCGTGACCACCATGCATCTGATATCCACCACGACAAGAAACAAGGATGGCCACACGATTTGGCATCCTTCTACAAGCATTCTTGATCTTGCACCACACACACACACACACACACACACACACACACACACACACACACCACACACACCACACACACACACACACACACACCTTTGCGACGAGGATGCGTGGGCGGCGACCCTCGCGCTCCTCAAAGGCCTCGACGACGGAGATGACAGCCTGCAACTCCTCGCTCTCGCCAAACTCGGTTGCGTACGCGCCGCTCACGGTGCGGGTTGGCGCCTGGTGGCGGCCCCACACCTACAAAAGGGGAGGGGGAGGCAAGGAATGATGGTGATGTGGAGCGAGATGGCGATGGTGAGTGACAGTGAGGGAATTCAGGAGCAAGGCAAAGAGGACAAAGGTGTGTGTTTGTGGGGTGTAGATGAAGACAGTCAAGTCAAGTAGACCGACGAACATGAAATCATTGAAGCCGCCCAACAACAAATACAATCATACATGCAACCACATACACACACAACCACACCTTCTCGAGGGCGTCTGAGATTTCGCCAACGGTGCAGCGAGCGCGGGCGGCGTCAACAGCGAGCTTGACGAGGTTCTCACTGCCGGCAGCGGCCTCTGTCAGGGCAGCCAGGGCGCGATCCACAGCAGCGGCATCACGCGTCTCACGCAGCGTCTTCAGCTTGCCAACCTGGTGTTGTTGGTGGTGGTAATGGTTTGGGGGGGGGGTGTTGAAGATGAATGGGAACAGGGTCATCGTAGAATCATAGGGATTTGTGGGGAACGAACGCAAGAAAATAGGAGATGTGGCAATATACAAAGACGGGTAGAAACACCAGAGACAACGCCAAACAATGAATATGCCCACAGTCACACGTATGCGTACGCACCTGCTTCTCGAGGACAGACTTGTTGTCGATGGCGAGCACATCCACGGTCTCTGGGTTTTCCAGGCGGTACTTGTTGACCCCAACAATCACCTCTGCATTCCAGCGCGCAAGACACGTTGTGAGATGGGGAGAGGGGAAGAGAGAGGAAAGGGGTTGGGTTGGGGGTTGGAAGGGGGAGATGAAAATAGGAAAAAAGTTACCAAGGTTAGGCACACACACAGGCACAGGCACACACACACACACACACACACACACACACACACACACACACACACACACACACACACACACACAAGTCGAGTGGTACCAAGGGCTTCGTCAAAGGCGTTGGTGTGGAGGGACTGGGTGCCGCCAAAGACAGCAGCCATGGCCTCAACCGTGGTGCGGATGATGTTGTTGTACGGGTCCTGCTCCGTCAGCGACACGCCAGACGTCTGCGAGTGCGTGCGCAGCAGCATGCTCTTTGGCTTCTGCGCGTCAAAGCGCTCCTTGATGAGGTGTGCCCACAGGCGGCGGGCAGCGCGCATCTTGGCAATCTCCATGTAGAAGTTCATGCCAATGCCCCAGAAGAAGGAGAGGCGGGGTGCAAACGCGTCAATGCTCAGGCCGGCGTTGATGCCCGTGCGGCAGTACTCGAGGCCGTCCGCAATCGTAAACGCAAGCTCAAGCTTCGAGTCAGCACCAGCTGTATGCGTACGTGTGTGCATATGTGTTGGTGTGCGTGCATGTGTGTGTGTGTGTGTGTCACCGTGAGCGAGGACAACGGTGGGTGAAAGCAAAGGCAGTCAGTCGCGTGAGAACGCACCAGGGAACAAGCTACGCAGTGGACATTGCATTCATACATAGATGCAGTCTTGCACCAGCATACATGCGCGCCCACACAAGCGCCCTCATTCTCATTCATACAACACGAGCATGCACGCTAGCCAGGGAGAACAAGAACAACACCGCAAGCACAAGAGCAGCAGCAGCAGCAACAACAACAACAACAACAACAACAACAACAACAACAACAACAACA